TTTTTTTTTTTTTTTTTTTTTTTTGCGTCTTCCCATCCCCAGGTATGAAGATGAGATCAACAAACGTACAGCTGCTGAAAATGACTTTGTGGTCTTAAAGAAGGTAAGGGTTGAAGACGGGTAGGGATGTGCTCCCACTTCCCTCAGGAATGGCCTTTGGCTTGAATCATGGGTTCGGTCCATCCCTCTCATCTCCACCCCACTTGGTACTATCCAGATCTCACTGAACTATGAATTAAGGCTGTGAAAAAAAGCCCATTTGGATAATTAACTTCCATGTCTGCAGGTGGCTTTAGGGGCAGAATAGGCCAAATGATTAGTCCCCCGCCACCTCACTTGGTGCTACCTTGTGTGTCACATAACACTCCCTGCCCCCTATTGGAATGCCTGTACCTTGTCTGTTATCCTCCCCCTTCCTCTGTAGGACGTGGACGCCACCTACATGAACAAGGCGGAGTTGGAGGCCAAAGTGGAGGCCCGTAATGATGAGGTCAACTTCCTGAGGGTCCTCTATGCTGCGGTGAGGACTCCATTCCCCCCGGCCCCCTCATTCAGGGAAGGGACTCCTCCATCTGTGAGGCTGCTGGTTGGAATTGACAGTTCGTTGAGAGGACTCCAGCTCCCTTACTTCGGGGCCGTGGGCTCTCAGCAAGGTCATGGATAGAAAGGGTTGAAGTGAGAGATTCAACTGAGAGGTCTCAAAACGAGAGGTTGTCTTAGAAGATTAGGTCTAAAGATTGCATGGGATAGAAGTTATGGCCGTCTAGCATTTCTCTAGTGAAATAGATCCATTCCCTTCCCTTCCATGTAACATACTCAGGGCCCCCTGACCTGGAGGAGCTTAGGGAGCAGTAGAGACTACAAGCATTGCTTTTCTGACTTGAGATATCACCAACCACTTGATTTCTACATAGAAATTTACCCCTCCTCCTTCTCTGTATGCTTTGGGAATGCCAGGTTGGCTTCCATCTGAGCCTGTGGCATGGCCATTTCCACGGTGATGGCAGGTCTCTGGTGTCAGAGATTAGGGAAGACTCTCCAGGAGGCCTGATGTGAGACATTTTCCCTGCAGGAGCTGTCCCAGATGCAGACCCACGTCAGCGACACGTCTGTGGTCCTGTCCATGGACAATAACCGCAACCTGGATCTGGACGGCATCATCGCCGAGGTCCGTGCCCAGTACGAGGACATCGCCCAGAGGAGCAAGGCCGAGGCCGAGGCCTTGTACCAGACCAAGGTGGGTGTCGGGGGTCTCTCAGGAGCCGAGAGTGGCTTCTGGGGCTCTGCTTTTGATGTCTGTGAGCAGACGAGCATCAGCTTGAGCCCAAGAGAAGTCAGGGGTAAAACTGGTTCTTCTGGGTGGCACTGATCCTGGTCTGCCTGGAGATAGCATGACATTTTGTATTATCCCTGCCACCTGTGGCTATTCTTGCTGAGTCCACTTGAGGATAGACTCTACCCAAACACCCCTGACCCCTGATTCCCTGTGTCTCCTGGGTCTCAGGTCCAGCAGCTCCAGGCCTCAGTCGAACAACATGGTGACAGCCTGAAGAGCACCAAGAATGAGATTTCAGAGCTCAACAGGATGATCCACAGGCTGCAGGCTGAGATCGAGAATGTCAAGAAGCAAGTATGTATCACCTCTACCCGGCCTCGGTACAGGGCCAGGGGCCTGAGGCAGATGTCTCCACAGTAGGCAAGCAGATAAGGCATCAGACCAGAAGATCTTGAGCTAGTCTGCGGGGGATTTGTAGCTCTTTGCATAAGTCATACCCAGATCTTTTCAGCAAAATCCTAGTTAACATGACATGATAACCTCATCAAATAAGTTTTCCTGGCTCTTTTTCATTGGTTTTGCTCATTTTATCTAATCAGTCTGGTGGGGGCATTGGTGGACCCTAGCTGGAGTGAATAAAATACATTAAGAGTCAGGGAAGGTGGGGAGAAAGACAGACAGAATCTTGACACCCTAACCCAAGCAAAGCTGCTACAGGAGAGGGGACAGATTTAGAGGTCTTGACAGCAGGACCCTGGTGATTGCCTGTCCCGTGCCCTTGTCTGCAGTGCCAGACTCTGCAGGCATCCGTGGCTGATGCAGAGCAGCGTGGGGAGGTGGCCCTGAAAGATGCCTACAGCAAGCGCACAGAGCTGGAGGTCGCCCTGCAGAAGGCCAAGGAGGAGCTGGCCCGGATGCTGCAAGAGTACCAAGAGCTCATGAGTGTGAAGCTGGCCTTGGACATTGAGATCGCCACCTACCGCAAGCTGCTGGAGGGCGAGGAGTGCCGGTGAGGGGGGCTAAGGCAGGGTGGGAACAGGAGGAAGGGAGAGGTTCCAGAGCCATGGCCAGGCCGGGACACCTCTGCTGGACCACTTGCTTCTGTGCTGGTGTGTTATGAATCAGGACGGTGTTATATAACAGGTTCACATTCGGGCCTCAAATCTGGCTGCTGAAGGATGGGAGGGTGCTTGACACCTGCTTGTTGAACGAAGCGTGGCTCCAGGTTTGCTGAGGTTCACTGCTCTTTCTCTTGCCCACAGAATGTCCGGAGAATGTCAGAGTGCCGTGAGCATCTGTAAGTACCATCTGCCCCCGCTGCGGCCATTTGTTCACCCCGGTTTGGGGTGAGATTCCTGGTTTCCAGCACTGTTGGAACGACCATGTCCTTGTCTTTCTCCCGCAGCTGTAGTTGGGGGTGCTGCCGGTGCAGGAGGCATTGGTGGAGGGTTAGGAAGCTGCTCCGGATTTGGCCTGGGTTCTGGCTCCGGAAGTGGTTTTGGGTTTGGTGGTAGTGTTGGTGTCGGCGGCAGTTCCAGCAGCAAGATCATCTCTACCACCACCCTGGCCAAGAGATCCCACCGATAGAGGAGGTGAGGTCCCTGCAGCCGCCTGAGGCCAGCCTGGCCCATTCCTGATGTCTCTGCTTCCTTCACCCCCACCTCCACCCTCCCTTCCTGGGGCTCATCTTACCAATGCCGCCTCAGTGCCAGGGCGTGGACTCTGCCCTCTTGGAGTTTGGTAGCTTCTTTCTAATTTGGGCTTGCTGACCCAGCTGGAATGGGAGAGGTGTCAGCTGACTCTTGACCTCCCATGCACAGAGGAGAATCCAGCCAGGCGCTTCATCTCCAGAATTATTAGGGTCGCATATATCCCCACCCAGCCCAATGCCGCCTCCTACCAGATCCCGGATCTCCCTCTACAGCAGGACCAAACTCCTCCATCACTTGGCAGCAACTGACCCTGCAAGGTCAGGATAAGAGCCACTCAGTACCCTGTCCACCTCTTCTCCTTCCCTCTGTCCATCCTTGGGTGAATCTTCAATAAAAAGCTTTTGTCATTCACTTTGAGCAATCGTGTTTGTTCCTTGGGGAGAAGTCTCCAGAATTCAGGTGAAAGTGAAGGAGGCCGGGGCCTGAGGGGTCTGTCTGTCCAAATCAAGGTTATCAGCTAATTTCTCAGATCTCTACTTCTAAGTTGCCCAGCTTATTGAGACAGAAGGGTCATGTGTGGAGCCTGAAGGCTGCCTACAGAACAGGAGCACAGTCTCAAAGCAACCAACAGTTATCCAAAGATCGCGCATTGCAGGCAGTCAGGGTGGGGCCGTCTCAGTGCTGAGACCCAGGAGTATCTGGCGGGAAGGGGTGCAAGTCTGGAGGTGTGGGTTATAGGGCATGTATGGGGACAGGCAGTCAGAGGTCTCCACTGAATATAGAACAAGAGGTTAGGGAGCTTATGGAGAGTTTATGCTCAGCGTCTAGCAAGTCCCTGTCTTCACGAAGCTCCAGGCACGGGCTTTCCCACCAAGCCAGCAAGGCTTCTGGGAACTTGTTCGCAGAATCAACAAGGTCATGACTGTTGGATGGAGAAATGAAAACATGTTGCTCTCACAGAGCTTTCGTGCTGAGCTCACTTGCCCTTGTCCTCAGGTGATTCTGTCAGAAGTTATGTCTGAGTGGCTGTCCCTGAGTGGTGGGAGAGAGGGGGGCATGAGGCAGGTCTTTGGGGGCATTGGAGGGTGTAGCTTCCTGTTTGGGGCCAGCCCTGGAGATTCCGGTTGGATATTCAGAGGTGGGGGTCTGGGTATAGCCTTTGTGGACATACTGTTTTTATACTGGACCAATTCCAAGATACCTGGAGCATCACAATCTTCCCTTCTTCAGAGGAAGTCCGCACAGCTCCCCTTGTGCAGTCTGACCTAAATCGCTCCTACTACAGTTGCAGACTGCACTCACTCCCCTGGCCATCAGTTGGTGCCTCCCATCCTTGACGGCCAGGGAGTGCATGCAGACTCCAATCCCTCCACCTGGTGCCTCCCACGGGCCCTTACTATGTGCAGAACGAAGGGCACGCCGTTCGCCCAAGGCTGGTCTCTGCCCACGGGGCCTTCGACGCATGCAGGCAGGCTCAGGGCAGCAGGGCAGAGCAGCGAAATGTTAACCTCAGGGGTTTGCGCTCCCAGGCAGGGGCCTTCTGCCAGAAGCAGCTGCTTCCTGCTCCCTGGGCTGGTCATCTGGTCCTCCAAAAGCTAATCTCCCCGTAGACCTGGGGCTCACCCCGTGTGGCAGAGCAGGAAGTCTTTGACTTCTTTCCATCACTGCACCCCTCCCCTGGGAGAATGCTGAATTGGCTCTTTTCTGAGTTTCTGGGGTGGGGAGGAGGAGTCAAGGATTGGAAGCAGGGGAGGGGCTTCTCAAGTTCACCCACCGGGAAGCTGTAAGTCGCGATGGGCCAGGCCGAGAAGCCAAAGCCCAGAAGCCGGGCAGGTTACTGCCTTTTTTGTGCCCTCTGAGTAGGCGGAGTGCAGGAGCGGGGAGTAGCCAGCCTGAGTATCACTTCGGATCTCTCAGGGCCTCCTCAGTTGAATTTAATGACTTACACTCAAAGTTAGATGGTAGAAATAAAATTAAAGGTCCCTGCCATCCTGTCATTCTGAGCCTGATGGGAAAGACATAGAAACGTGTGATCATAGTACAGCGTGGTAAGACCTACAGACTGGTGTGCCAGGGGCTCTGGGCACAGAAGTGTACCCAAGCAGGGAATCAGAGAAGGCCTGCTGGAGGAAGTAAATCTGCCCTGAGTTGGAGCTGGTTAGGGAAAAAGGGAGGACGGGTTGGGGGGTATTTTCCAGCTGGAGGAGAGGTTCACGCAAAGAGTCAGAGACTTGAGAGCGCATGGGCCCTTTACGGAACCTGGAACTGTTTGGCACAGGTGAAGAGCCAAGTAGGTGATGGGCAGGGGCAGTGAGAACTGAGTCTGAAGATCTTGGTGGATCTCAGATCTCAAAGCACCTTGATGCCAGGCTAGGAGTTTGAATTTGACCTTGACTTTGAAGGGCTATAGGCAGGGGAGTATCATAATCTAAGTTGTGTGTTGTAAAGCTGCAGTGTGGAGTATGGGAATTTCTACTGACCTTAAGGCCGAATCCAACCATCAGTGAGATCAACTGTGTTTAAGCCAAATAAATCAAGCCAATGAACGGATGGTTGACTGGAGGCTGGTGATAGGCCTGGCGAATCTGGACAGATATCTACCTCTGCCACACTCCCCAGGCAAAGGCACAGTCTGCCAGGCTGAGCTCGGCTCCCTGCTTTGACCCCTCTCCCCGTAGTTCCATGAGCTGCAGCTGGCAGCTGGCTGGCATGGGGATGACCTCAAACACACCAAGAACGAGATCTCAGAGCTGACCCGGCTCATCCAAAGGCTGCAGTCGGAGATCAAGGGTGTGAAGAAGCCGGTGAAGGGGCTTTGGGGTTTCCTGGCTCAATCCCAAGGGAGGGGTGAACTGTCAGTCATATACACTCCCCCATGCCCCTTATCCTTTTCTGGGTCCTCCATCTCAGAAACCCCTTCCTCAAATGGAGCCCCTGTTCTCATCGCCCGCACTTAGCTCCCACCTGAATTCTGGAACAATTGGAAGGGCCTTTTCAGAAAGCCAAGGGGCTGGGAATAACAAGCCCCCCAGTCCCAGGTTGACAGGACTCTATTGCCATGCATGGGGTTTTGCTCTAGGAAGTGGGGCAGGACAGGGTTTGGTCCAACCACAGTAAGCACTTGGGGCGGGGGCTGGAAGGGAGGCTCAGGCTGCCTTAGAACTGAGGGGGCAATGCCACCTCCTGGCTCTCAGTGCTCCAACCTGGAGATGGCCATTGCTGATGTCGAGCAGCGGGGCAACTGCACCCTGAAGGATGGTTGATCCAAGCTGGATGAGCTGGAGGCCACCCTGCTCCAGGCCAAGGAGGAGCTGGCCCAGATGATGCATGAGTACCAGGGACTTATGAGCACCAAGCTGGCCCTGGACATCGAGATCGCCACCTACTGCAAGCTGCTGGAGGGTAAGGAGTGCCAGTGGGTGATGGGAGGGGTCTTAGAATGTTAGGGCTGGAAGGACTTTTGGAATCCTCTGACTCAATTTCCCAGATGGCGGGGCAGGCTGCTGGACGGGCTGGAGATGCTTTTTCAGGTCACCCACAAACGTAGCCTTATACAGAATCTGGTCAGATAATAAGATGATGATTTCCTTTAAGGTTCTCTTTCCAGTCTTCAGACTATGATAGGGAGAAAGTTTCAGTGTAGTGCTGCTGTATCTTTTTTTTTTTTTTTTTTTTTTTTTTTTTTTTTTTTTTTTTTTTTTTTTTTTTTTTTCCCCCCCG